GTTTAAACAACTACAAAATCAGTACAGTACTAATATTTTACTAGTTGATATAAAGCAACAGACACAGATTAACAAATGGATCAACTCAGATTATGGAGATTCCAAAATCATATCCAAATAATGTTTTTTATAAATAAATTATTCCCTTTAACCAGTTAATGTGCATTTCTGAATATGAAAATGATTGGCTGATACTGCAGGGATAGTATGCACACCTACTTACAATTACCAATAGAAAGGAAATGGTTTGCATGTATTTTGTGGAAAAGGGGATCTTTTCTATTTTTTAAGAAAGTATGGGAAACCATTTTTCTCAAGCTGAAATATGACTCTTCAGCTGCTAATACAATAGCAGGGTTATTTTATCCCTTAGGGATGAATTTCAGAGTTCAAGAGAGGAACAGAATGATGTGATCAATTATCTAAAGTGAAAGAAAGATGTTTGGCCAGAGCACAATAGAATTCCCACTTCTAATAGAAAGGGGCCAACATCTCAGGATCCAAGGATAAAGAAGCTTTGAAAAATCATGGTCCTTATAGCAGAACAAGCTATGAGGGATTCGCATGAGAGGCAACAAATGAGAGCTGATAAATGAGAAAGGTGTACTGTCCTCCACTGTTTGAGGTAGCTAAATATTATTAGGGTGCTAGAGACACTAAGGGAATGCAGAAAATTTCCCAGTAATTACAGCTTACATGGAAAACATGAGTGGCACACTCTGTACTGTAAGGCCATGTACTGCTGGGAAAGATGGAGGGGGAAGGTTACTCAAGACAGTTCCCACATCTTCCATTTCCACAGAAGTCCAAGAGGAAGGCCATGGTCACATTTTCCTTTGGCTTGCTTCCAACAGAGACTGATCACCAATGCAGGGTAGAAAATGTGGCACAGAATACAATTAAACTGAACTGTTTTCAAGAATTTCAATATATGGGAGGATCAATCTCCCCTGTTATATTTTACATTTAGAATCAACAAAATATTTTTAGAACAGGAAAATAACAACACAATTTAAATGCAGATTGTATCCAGTATGCCAAATGTTTGCCTGCAAAGCATAATTTCAAAATAAGGAATTATTCTGAATTGGAGAGAAGCAAAGCTCCCTCAGTTTCACTCACACTTTAGGAGGTCCATAGAAGAGTACTTAAAATTGTGGTCTTTGTGAACTGTTACCTCCAAAAGTCAACAGGAATCCCTTCCTCATGCCTTTTTAAAACCTTAAAAAGAGAGCCAAAACAGATGAGTCAATCATGTGAGGGGGCATATTTCACCACCCAACAGTAAGGAATTTTACTTTTTCAATTTGTTTGACACAAAGCAGAACTACTTTTTTTTATTTGTTCTTCCTGCAAACCCAACTCCTAAGAAGACTTTCCTTCACTTTGACATTCTCATATGAGTGCAGCTTTACGGTGTAGTCCTCTTTTTTCATGTTCTGTTGAAAAAAGTGGAACAATGCTTAGAATAATTATTTTTTTGGGTCTATAGCTCTGAGAAGTATGGCCAGTATATGCTAATACAACAGAACAGTTGAAATGGGGCAAACAGACCCACTCCAAATCCTATAACCCCTCAGATCCTGAAATACATTCCAACAACTGCAGAGCTAAATTCTCCCCATTCAGCTCAGTGGAGAGGAAAGGAGAAAGCCCTGTTCCCCCTACCCACCCATTACTGCCCACCTTGCCCACATCAACACAACACCTTGCCGGACATAGTACAAATCAACATCTAACCACAGCACACCAGCATGCAGATAAAAATCCCACACAGGAAAACTGTAACTCAAATAATGAAGGTGTAAGACAGAAGACTATGATTTCTGTCCTCAGGTTGTGCACATAATGGAGAACACTGGGGATGGATAAGAGAGAAAGAGAGCACTTTCTGCAAGACAGCTGGTGCACCTCTGCCAGCTCAATGGCAGATGAGTATAGCAAAAACAATATATTTATTGTTTAAGATGTTTGTATAAGTACTCTTCATCCTATAACACTAGGCTGGTATACAAAATGTCATGCAACAGGTGACAGTGCTCTGAACATGGAGCTGAAATCACAAGAGACGCTGCACCTGCTGCACTGTTGCCCCTCAAGCAGCTGTTCAAAGCACAAAAGCCCTGCTAAGGTGAGAGGTTGGCAGATCTGCATATGTGCCCTTCCCTTGCAAAATTTCCTCTTTCTCAGATACTGTTCAATAGAGGATATGATTTTCATAGTGTGTGTTGTTTCTTAATTGACAGCATTACTGTAAGAGTAGGTTCTCTGCTCTTTTCTCTGTATAAACCATCCTGGTTTTTACATTTCTATGTGGTAGGGCTGCTTATTGTACATCATCCTATTTGGTTCTGGTGCAGAAGAGGGTCTTCACTGTTGTGGTTCCCATGATGTGGAACTATCTTACCACTGAGACTAGGAGGGCTCCCAATGATGGGTGTTCCTGCTGTCACCTGAAGACACACATCTGTTTACCCAGGCATTTTCCTTATCATCTCCCCATCTATTAATGCTACCCATTATGGTTTTCAGAGAATGGCTTTTACTCATTTATTCTTCTAGCCCAGAGGTCGGCCAGGTTTTTTTTACCGGGGGCTGGTCGCGGGTCCCCAGGTCTTCTGCCGAGCCG